TCCAAATACAGGGCAGTTGTTTTCATCTAATCATTCTGCAAGTGGTGATTTTGATATGGTCCGTCTACTCACCGGACTGAAATATCTTAATTATCTATTGTATGGATTCTAACAGAAATTTGGTGCTGACATTCATGGTTCCCAACGACTTTGACGATCCACTAACTTCTGCTCAATACCTCCGTATAATTCCCATCATGCTCAGCTGTATTTTGTCTTTAGTGCTAAGTAGCAATGTTGACACGATAACAACCAAAACTAAGATGGTGAACAAAGTCACGTTAGTATGCTGATGATGTTAGCCTTTAGCTCAAATCGCCGCTGTGCAGCCTCTCAGAGCTGCTAGCGCTCCTGTGGACTATTAGTCTTGTTACTAATAGGTCATTTAGTTTACTAAAAACCTCTCATCTTTATTGGTCTGAACGATGAATGGTTTTAAATTAGCTTTAGCTAGAAGGCTCTACACATCTTCCATACGGAATTTATCTAATAAAGTTGTCTTTCGTCCTTTAATTAGTTTAACAAAAAAAAGATTTAAATCTTTTCCTGCTTGTGTCTTTCTGGCAATAATCCAATAATGCCATATTAATTGAACACTTAACAAGTGCGTGTGTGTTGACTGTAAAGTAGTACCTCCCCTGCAGTTGAAGAAATATACAGACTATGGATAATGGTTATATGGCCTAAATCACCCCCTGCTGAGTGAATGTGGTTTTGTGAGACGAGTGCAGCGGGGGAAGTCGCACACATACAGTCAGGACTTATTGTTGCATGATGTAATATGATTTGATATAACTATGTGTCACCCAGCTCACATTATTTTCACACGTACGAGTTCCCTTAATGAAATGTCTCCTGTGTTCATGCTGTTCTGATTTTCTCACATGCAATACAGAACTGAAACAGTGTGAGCAACCAGAGGCTGGATTTAGCTGCACCACACGGGCTGCAGGTTATATTTGGAATACTAAAATAAGAATTAATCAGCGTTGCCATGATAACAAGTAAATCTAAGGTCACCCACCTTTCTTGCCACAGCAGCACGGTTGTGCAGTCTATGCTTTATGCAGAAATTGATGGATCGCAGTGATGCAGACTTATTCACAAACCGCCCCTCTGAGATGCAACACGGACTGACGAAAAGAGCAAACTGGAATGTCTGGCTGATATTAGGTGGGTTAGGGTATAATTGTATTATCTTTCATTTTAACAAAACTGACCTGCAGTCAACACCGAAAAAGGATGTCATGGTTCTGATGTGTGTAATAAATAAATATTGAGCTGAGGCGGTGTGTCAGAATGGCGCTGCACGTTGAAATAAATGGTTAATAATTGGTCATTTATATCTTGTCTAGTAGGGTTGGGATTAAATACTATTTCATTAAATCTGAACCTAGTGTCGAGTCCACTTGACCCTGAATGCTTTTGAATCCCGTATCAAATCTAATTAGTTTGTGCTTTCAACATTTTCAGGTTACTAAAGTTATAAAGAACTAAAACTTAAAGCTCTCTAATGCTGTTTTCTTAGCTGAGAAGGCAGAATGCAGTTTTCAGTGTCAGCCTAGTCTAATATTCACAACTTGCAGCTTCAACCTGAAAATCAGATGAGCAGCAAAAGCTATGAAAGACTGATTAAATGTATCGTAATGTACCTTATTCTGCACCAGGCCCTTTTCTTAAGACTGAAGGTCCTGATTCAGAGCTATTAAAGCCGATAAGTTAAAAGTATTGATATGATATGGATCAAAGTTTAAATTGGAGATTCTCCTGAAATTGATGTAATGTCCCCCATTCCCAATTACACAGTTCACTCGTGGTTGTACGTGTTGTGGTTGTTAGATGGTTAGAGACACCAGCCTGTTTCATTTTAACCATGAAGGAATTAACTATTTTTATTCATTTTTCTTTTTCATCAGATATTTATTATTGCTGAAACACGTATTACCCAGGGCTCTACAGTGCGAGTACACCTGCATATGCCCCTGAAAGTTCATATGTGCGCACTAAAACAAAGATTTACTTAGAACAGTGTGTACCTGCACCCAATCATTCAAAACAGTGGGACTGGCCGTCGGGAGCAACGGGAGAACGTGTCTGTGTGGTTGGCAGTTTTAAGTTGTGAGACAGAAGACAACAAGGAGAAGATAAGCAAGGCTTGGGTTTTGGCTGGCCAAATCGGGTGCTGTCAACGTTTCATAAAGTTGATGTGCTTGTCAATGTCAGCATTAACACATTAGAGACTAACCACAGTGTTTGCTCAATGTCCCGCCCACAGCACTCTGATTGGTTACACGCCGCAAATAATAGCCTATCAACACTTTGCTCCGGTGAGCAGCGGAGTTTCACTCAATGACACCCGTGAAAGGGACGGCTTTTAAATCAGTCGCTCTCCCCTTACCCACTGCGCTTAAACACAGCATGCATGTGTCTTCTTTTCAATGGAACTCTGCATCGCGATGTAATGTTATATATTTACTACTCTTAAAAGTAACAGTGGCAGTAAAATCTTTTCTCATACTGTGATGGTTAAACTTCAATCCACATTTCACCTACAGTGGACAGGTGTGGATTTAGCTGAGTGTCCAGATACTAGTGTCTTCACTTTCATATTCCTCCACTGTTTGTCATAATAATTGCACACAAGGAGAAGGAGCACACATGGTGTTATTATATGTCATTATTTTGGATACAGTGCAAAAATGTGGAAAATAGTCACTTGGCTAAATGAAGCTCTAGTGAAAGCTTTTGCATGCTTAGATCTGTAGTTTATTTCTCATAGCATCCTGCCATTTACTCCACACATGTTCACTCATAATTCCCTGCTGTCATTATGTGGGGCTGTCACTTGTGTTACCAGCTGTTCCATCCACTGGTCACATCTATACAGAAGCACAGCGACGTGTCATTTACAAAGGATAAGAGAAGAACAATGTTGCGTCGTCTTGGTATTTGGGTACCAACTTACATCTGCTCTAGGCAACAACAGGGTGTTCAACCCTTTCTGAGCCACTGAACATGTACTTTAAGATGTACACCCCTCCCCTCAGCTTAAATTATAGAGTCCTTTAAATGTTGCATAAAATATTTTGGTTGCACGGTCTACACGAACATTAACCTACATAAGTTTGAATCTAGTTTTTATCAGATCTGTTTTCCGTGTGGAGAAGGGTGAGTGTGATGCAGGACTTATATTCTTATATGCTTTCTATTGTACTTTCTTTAAATGCATCCTAGATATTAAATGTTACATTGAGGTAAAAAAGGCAGAACTCAAACACAGGGGCGCCGTACAGCTTTCTCAGTGTACAGTACACACACACACACACACACACACACAGAGTTTACTAGTAGTTCATTACATTGCATTCACTTTTATCCAAAACAACTTACAATTACTATGTAGTGTATGTCAGAGTCAGAGTTAATGCAACTGGGGGTTAAGTGTCACCATTGCCACCCCCAGTTCATTTTAAAAGAAGGCAAGCATTTGGGCACATTTTGGATAACTTAATAACTTTGCAAAGTGAAGGTGAAGCATTTTGTTCAAGAGGTGGTATTATGCTAATTTTCAGCTTCAAAATCCTATTTAGGGGTTGTACCAGAACAGGTTTACATGGGTAAAAACACTTTTTTTTTTCATACTGCACATTGCTGCTGCTCCTCTTTTCACCCTGTGTTGAAGGCTTCGTTTTAGCTATGGAGTGATACATCTTGCCTCTAAATGATCTTTGTTAGGAGTTGCACATGCGCAGTTCCTAGTTAAGGACTACTAGCCAATCAAAAGCAGAGAAGGGCGGGTCAGCGAGAAGCAAACAGGGCTTCGATTCAGCTGTACATGTTGCCAACAACAGCTTAGCAACATGGACTGGAGCAAGAGTTTCAGAGTTATAAAAAAAGTGTCTTTCATCCATAAAGTTATAACTGAGGTCTGCCTGGAGGGTAGCTAGTGTTTGGAAGGGAGAGGAGAGGTGTGTGCTGCAACTCAGTGTTTTTCCACCGGTGTTTTTGAGGGCGTTTCAGAGTAGCTGCTTGGCGAGCGTTATATGAAGCGCGTATTGATTTCATAGCAAACCCTGCCACACACTTTAGCTTTTTACAAAACATTCAGCCAGCTCTGGTCGGGCAAAGAAACTAACTTGGCCCATAGCCTGCTGCATTCCTAAAGACCTGTGGCTGTTCGTCAGTGACCATCAAGAACAGTGAACTTAACTGCCAGTTATGTTTCAAATTGCAATTCAGTGGCACTAAGGATGAACGAATGCTTTGGCATGTAGTACACTGGAGTAAGAGCCTGAAAGTAGTGTCCCAATTTCTACTTATTGAGTCAAGAATGAATTCTGAATCAAATTGTGACACCAAAAATTTGATTAAAATTCTCACTCCTACTAATATCACTTTGAAGATGTATCCCACTTTTCATCATTATTTGTTGTGCCAGGTGGTGGTATTTGTAATGAAAATAACCAACAAAGAAGATGAAGTATATCTGACATCCCGTCATCTGTCCATACTGAGGAAAAACTGAGCCAGCAGAGAGACACTTACCTGCCAGCGATCTGAGTTATCGCAAAGGAAGTTTGGTTCTCCATATAGCCTGCTGAACTGTCATTAATGCACAAGTTGTTCCACTCAGTGACACCACTATGGCATGAACAATACTTAAGTGGACACGACTTGGAGCAGCTGTTGACTGATTGACTAAACCGCTCTATTCACATGTTCCTTGCACCGTAAGTACTATTCATTTTAGAGATTTAGAGGTGTTTGAGTTAACTTGATCAACTGGGTTTTCAGTGAAATCTCTTAAGTGAGCTCTTGCTAGAATTTTTTGTTGGACTGTGGAAAAAAAGAACTGAACTCAAAGTATGAAGAGTATTTTGTTTATTGTCGGTTGGTTTATTAATTGTTTGTGGACCATGCTCTGCTTTGTTTAAAATGTTTGCTGGTAATACATTTCGTTGATAGGAACCAAAATTGTGGCCAATTGTGCCTCTCTGAAGAGGCAGGTCAACATCTGTCTCGAATGCATTTCACACTCCCAAGTAGGATTGGGCCTTTCAATCCATCGCAGATGCTTCTTGGATGCTTTTTTTTTGTATAGCATTCCGATCTGCAAAGAAGCATGAAGTGGAAAATCAGAAGCAATTAAACACCTGTTTTCTCAGGTCCCAATGCAGCACAGTCCTGACAGACTGTCATATCAAATTACTGGAAAAACATCACATAAGTAGGCACTTAATACTGCAAGTGCAGATAGTGGAGCAGACCCTATCTCTCCAGATCCAGAAGTAGGAAGGAAATGACCTCATCAAATGCCATTTGGTCAGTACTTTCATTCAAAGTGTCTCATAGTACTACAAGAACATAATAGTATAAGAGGCTGAAACAGCTGACTGGAATTCACTGCTCTCCATGGCTCTGAATCAATAGTACACTATTTATTCACTAAAATGCCATTGTCAGAATACCTTTTGTTTGTTTGTTTGTTTCTGCTTTTTGATCTGCAGATATAGAGATCTTGAATGTTTATATTATAATATCACTAAATTATCTCTACTATTTCTCTGTATGGCAAAGATACCAGACATTCATAAATAAATGTAATGCACTTCTGTCTTCTGTCCTCCTTTAGATTATTAATCCTCAACAGCAATTCTTGTGGTTTTAGGCATTTCTCTGATTCCTGTGATCCTGATCCATTCTCTTTGTAGCTTATAAAATTGGGAACAGCAGCCACATGCCATAACAGAGCAACACATCTGGCTCCCATATAAATGATTTACAGTCCAAAGAGACTCGAACAGTGAAAATGAAAGGTTGTAGCTCACTGTTGCTGTTTCTGAAATTGAGAGAACTGCCTTTTAATATGCCTGTCTCACTAGCATTCTGCTGGGCTGCCCCATTAAAGTTGATAATTCTAACTGGTGGTCAGGGAAGCTAATCTCTGGTTATCAGTCAAAGCATCAGTTTTTCTGTCCTCTTCCTTTTCCTGATTTAGAAGATTAGCGCACTGAAACCATCATCAGTGTCTGGCTTACATTTTCATCTATCTCTCTTTAAGACTTGTTGGGAAATAGGCTTCATAATTCATCAACATTAAAAGCCATTTGAGGTTGATATTTTAGACGGGAGGGTTCGAGCATCTACTGGACATAAGGTTCAACAACATCACTTGGTGCTCCACTCCACTAACATTCGCTAGTCTCTGGGTGGTGGGGTACAAAGTATCCACAAAATACTTTGTTTGTTCAAAGCAAATTAATAGTTCTCAAATCCAAAAGGAACTTTTATTGATATAGAAGGTTTCATGAAACTCAGGATGTCTTAAGCAGCAAGATTTATTGAAGCCCGGCTGGAGAGACTGGCAAAAGTAGTACAGAGTGAGAACACAGTGTAGTACCAAACTAAATCTGAAGAATACATCCTGGCAGAGAGTATTTAGCCTTCCATAAGGTTATTCTTTACCCACATTTACATGTGTGAAGATTGTATTGAAAAGTGGTTCAAAACAAGACACTGTGATTACCTAAGTTAACCTAAGTCACTATGAGTGTCATCCCAGTCACATGCAACACTTTCTAAAGAGAGAACGTCTGTCTGTATGAAACAAAACACAGATAATCTTGACCATAATAGTTAAAATAAAATAAAAAGTGGGGGAATTGTGGACATGTCCATGTACAACAGTCTTTTCAAAATTGTTCTTTGTATTGTATATTCTCCCCACAACATTGTCCTTTTACTTTTTAGGGCCTTCGGTGGAAATGTGCAGTTTGTAACCCGCCGTTGGTAAAGTTGATTCTCTTTGTATGCTTGTACGGTGTACAGTTTTACTTTGCTTTCCTTTCGATAGACCCCCCCCACATACACACACACACACACCTCCCTGCGGCCAGTTTGGGGAAGCAAGGATGCCGTGGTCAACTGTGACAAAGGCAGCTGATAGGTCTAGTGGGGTAAGGACAGCTCAATCCTTTTTAGTACAGTTTTTTACAATTGGAATTCATGACAACAGCTCTAGAGCGGCATGGTTGTCCGGTGGTCCGGTGGATAGCGCTGTAGCCTCACAGCAAGAAGCGGGTTCAAGCGGTTTACAATGGACGGACAGCGCTGTTTGTTTCAATTAGAATAACCGTTGCTAGTCATTACAGGAGGCAGCTTAACGAATAGAGAGCGCGAATCGAGAGCCAACAAATGGTAATGTGAGCCATGTTTCTGACCAAGATGTCATGATGAGGCTGCTTATTTCCAAAAGGCTGGTTCTGATGTGGGAGCAGTCTTTGAACGGAGATGAAATGCGATCTGTTTATTGAACAGAGTCCAGAGACACAGCATAAGTCAATATGAGTGGATCCATTAATCCATAATTGGTCAAGCATAAGAAGGCCCACACCTCTGCTTTAGGGTGTGGAGGGGGCATTGCAGACGGTAGCATAACATTGTTTTATGCAAAGCCCCTAATGAACTCAAAGGGAAGCAACAGTTGTGATTTAGGAAAGGTGTAAAGTGGTCAAATGAAATGTGAATGTGCTCTCATGCATGCAGAACAAACATAATGGGATGTGTGTGTTCGTGTTTATGTTATCAGGTAGCCTGCACAGTGTGTCTCAAAGTAAAAAAAATGGTGAGAATGACTAGGAACAAATGCTAGTGTGTCAGATAACACCAGAGCTGGCACCCTTTTAGATTTGAACATCATCCAAAGTGGTTGCTGCAAAAGTCATTTAAATGTGTTGACTTTTGTTGCTGTTCCATCACCATTTATAGGTAAAATGGATTTATGATTAAATAGTTTACTAGAGCACAACATTGTTTACAAGAGTGCAAAGTTCTTTATAGATAGCCTCTTCATTTTGCACCAACTGAATGCATTTTACTTGGGGAGCATGCCCCCGGACCCCCCTGAGAAGGTCCGAGGTCCACCCACCACAGTCTGATATCATCCCAGGACACTGAACCCTGACCTTATTCAGGCCTCAGATGCTCACAGCCAAATTAAAGAAACTACACAGTGTTTTTTTTTTGTTTGTTTGTTTTACACGCTTGTCAAACACAAACATGGTATGGGAAAATAAAATAAATGTTGCACTTTCCCGTCATTGTTCTATTTGTGACAGCATCTGTGAAAGAAATGCTCGTCTTAAGCAGCAAGATTTAGTTTGACTTATTGTTTTGGAAAGTCACAGGCTGTCACCTTTGGCTTACTTTAGCTCAGCAAATGATCCTAATGTGACCCGGGGAATCCCTGTGTGATATAACCCTAAAGGAGGAAAATTCCTTCACGCTGTTATGTTATTGATTTTTTTTCCACTGCTCGGGGCCAATACACTGATGAAAATAGAACAGACAGATGCATGCTATGTTTAAATCTCGAGCGCAATGATTGGGTTAGGGGAAAGCTTTTGGCCTCCTTTGACTGAAACCCTGTTAGCTGTGACTTAGGGCATTTTCAGTGGAGTAACTGGGCCACAATATGATCCGAACCGTGGGTTTTGTTATCCGTTGCACCCCTAGAACAAGCAATGATTTAAATGTAAACCATAAGTGGTAATGACTCTGAATGTGTCGGAACATCTAGCAAGGAGAAGATTTTGTTCATTTATTTCATAACACGGGGATATAACTTTTAACATCACAAGAAAAAATATAACGTTACATAAAAATTAACTTGCTACAAACTTGCTCCTCTCCCACTAGATGTCTCTGCTGAACCTGCCGTGTCTTCCTATCCTCCCGGATAAAGCGCTGTTGGGTAGGTTTGGATAATCTGGCATGAGGCCCAGATAATATGGGTGGACCACGAGACAAGCAAACCCCATCTGAGCGTCCCCCAAAACCACCACCACCCTTGTTGTCCTAATTCTTTTGTCTACATGTCCCTGTGTTGTTGATGCTGCGTGAAGACTGCTGACTGCTGACCGCAGGATGACCTTATGAGGTTGCTGGTCTAAGGTGACTTTGCCTTGGCGTATGATGCCCCAATTTGAGGTTGTTTTTTTTCACTCCGATGAATTTGCAGTGAGAATGGAGCCATTGTGTTTTGTGGTAACTCACAGTGTTTGGTAGTGATGTCCTGAGATGATCCACAGGATTAGTGCCAATTAAGACGTTTTAATGGCTCAGTATCAGCGGAATGAATCCCAATTAATTTGGGCTCCACTAATGCTATTCAGCTATTCTGGCTAAATGTACACCAGCTGGCTGCTAAGGTTCTCTGTCTGCAGAGTCAGCTGATAATCCTCTGTTGGGTCATCACTATGACCGACACCTTTCTCATTATACAATGTTTAATCCATTGTTCATAAAAAAATATAAATTCCTGCAGCTGTAAGCAAGACGGTCCAACTGCAGACCTCCACTGGGGGGTCGCCTCCGCTACAGACCTCTGTCAGGACGGCTCCACTGTCAGGCCGATCAGTACAGGAAATAACCATAAATAAACTGTTTTTTACGTCCCCCACAAGACGTAACATGATGTATTCTTGGTTTATTCGCTACTCTACACATCGTGACGGTCGGGTGATTGGTAAGCATTGTCCAAAACATTGAGTAAAGTCTGAATGCATGGGTCTTGGTGTTCACTGTCAAAAGAGCTATCGCTGTCAATATTGTACATCTAAATCACACAAATTACAGAATGTTGCATGTGTACAAGTTCGGTTATTTGTCGTTCTACATAGGTAACGTTGGGCTATGCCAACGGTGGCTAGCGTTAGCTCCTGAATTAGTATGGTAGGATAGGCTTTTTTTCTTTGGATAACGTAAGCTACTCAAAATGTATGAGGCTGCAGTGTGTTGGGCTTTATTAAACGTTTTTTTGTAAAGCATGTAGCAAGGGCATAGGTCGCCATTTGTCTTAAAATGTTGACTATGACGCTCAGGTTAGTTATTTGTCCAAAAGAAGATCAAATAAAGATCTACATATATCGTTTAGACCGTTCGGTGTAGACTTTTCTGGCTCTATAAATTCATCTTAGTTGAACTGAAGTTTATGTAGCGTTACTATGACGGTGTTTCCCAACCCTCTCCTGGAGAAAGTTACCCCATGTCCTGCATGATTTAATCTCTCCCTGCTTCAACACAGCTGATTGAAGCAGCTTCAGGATTCATAACAAGTTGAAAGTTTGAATCAGCTGTTTTGGAGCAGTGAGAGATCTAATACACACGGTTATAGAAACAGTTTACGTTATCCACAGAAAAAAAGGACTCTTCCCATAGATCTTCGGGGGCTCGCCACAGCCACCGTTGGCATATCCTAATTTGCGTGATTTAGATTTACAAATATTGATAGTGATGGAACATGCTGAGACCTATGCATTCAGACTTTTTTTAATGTTTTGCATAATGCAAATCAGTCACTGCAGCCCACCCCTTTTCTAACCGTGTAAGTAGAGTAAAAGTATTATTACAGTAGGCTACTAACTTTTGTCTCTCCATTATTTTTAAAAAGTGGATGTTTACAAAATGATCGATACAGGTATACATGTTGTATTGCATGTGTGTTCATTTTTACAGATGTTATAGTTTGATAGTCCACAAGCTGTAGTCCATGTGGTCCAGCAGGGTTCTAGTTACGGTCCATAAGGAGGGTCTGAGCTCTTATGGAAGCAGTAAAATTATGCATCTGTGGGGGTCACTAATTAATTTACCAACAACCATTATTTTTAATCAAATATGTATTTTCATTGAAATTATTATTTACATTGATAAGATAAACAGGCTAAAATAAGCAAGTTTTCCAAATGAACTATGCTGCGCACTGATTAATAATAATGATTAATAATAATGATTAATATGATATCCTAAAGGGCGGATTTGCTGTCTCTCCTTGAGTAGTTTATTTCAGGCGTTTTAAACTTAAACTGTGTGTGTGTGTGTGTGTGTTTTTGAGAAGACTGGAAGACGTTACACTCTTTATCAACAACATTATGTTTTTAAAAAAAGATACTGTTACTAGTTGAATGTAGGGTTGCAGCTAACAGTGATTTTAGTAGTCGAAGCTTCTATAGATTACTTCATTGATTCATCGTTTAAGAAGTACCTTTGCTTGGCGGCAGCGTGGTCACACCCCCCCCCCCCCCCCCCCCCCCATGATAAACAGATAGCAAACATCAGACAAACAACATCAACAGACCAATAACCAGACAAACATCAAAACAAACATCACCCGAGTGCTATACCAGTAATACTAAGGTGCAGCTCCCCGACACTGCCGTTAACTCATGACTGACGTTACAACCCAAACTCACGGCCCAACCTATAGAACAACAAACGCACGTGTGCACATTTACAGCTGAGGACTGCGGCTTACTTTGGCGAGCCTTCAACTCAACAATCAATCATGATTTCAGTTAAGCCGACCTGACAGTGGAGGTCTGCAGTTGGACCCCTCTCGTTTTAAGATCTCATAAACCAATTATTTGAAATACTTAAGAATTTAACTGTGAGATTCCAACTACTGTTCATTATCACGTTGCTTGGGTCCAGGGTGCGATTTGCGGGGGGATGCGTTGGACGTCCCCCTTTCTAGTCTATATATCCCTGCCTCTGCTGAATAATTTTTATCCCTGCTGAGGATATCCCCTCAGAGTAATCAATACTACTTCAATAGTGATGCAACTTATCAAAAAACTCACGGTTAAGAACAATCTGTAGTTCTGTTAAATTCATTTTAAAATGCTCTATTTTGGCTCTGATCCAGCTGCCTCTCTCTGTCTGTAGGTAATCACCATTCTGGAGTCTGTGGACACTACTTACCTTTGGTTTTTGTCTTTCAAAGCTGGTTGATTTGTGTCCACTGGCTGTTTGTTGGGCACTTTTGGGTCACGCCTTGTCTCCGTGTTGTCTTTCTTGGTGGCTGCAAAAGAAGTCAGCAATATTGCCACTTTTTGGCCCTCAGTCACACTGTAGATTTGCTTATCTAACTGACACACAAACAAAACTAACATTGGCTTTCTTTTGTCAAGGAAGACATGGAGATGAGCATATTGCTAGTTATTGTCCAACATGGTAGTTTGTTATGGATTACCGCTAATCACTACTTTCCTAATGTTCTGTGACAAGCCTTGTATATGTGTGTGTTTGTGTGGGCATTACGCATGTGATATGTTTGACATATGTCCTTCTTGCATGTACCACAGGCCATGGTAACCCATATGCAAATTTAAACTAGGCCTGCACGATATGAGGAAAATCTACGATGTGTGTTACCAATGTTCAATATGGCGATGACGATATGACTTGCAAAACACAGATATTGAAGTGCTCATTAGTTATACAGTTCCTGTCAGCCTGGTTGTCTTTAAATTCAGAGCAGGATTAGAATTTTATATTTAAAATGAAAATACTATTTATCGGTCAGCACTAAATGTAACCCATATGTTCTTTTTGGGTTAAGGATCCTGTTGTTCAAGTTCCAATATAATTCTACAAATTAAAGTTCAATATGTCTAAATATTCAATTATATACATATGTAACACCTTGTTGACACCAGTAGAGCTGATCAAACGAGACCTAAGGTGTACCTTACTATCACACCGGGCTACTATATTAAAAGTGTGTTAAACAGGATCCTGGGTTTCTAAGCTGTTGATGGTGAGCTGGCTAAATATTCCCTGTTTACTAATATTCGTTAGAGTGACTTCAGGTAGGAGAAGTAAGTATAGACAACAAATAAACAATGTTTGTAAGAACAGACCTTAAGAACTGTACTGAAGTTCACCAGAATAAAGTATTTATAGTCAAATTATAAGTCAAATATGGACAACAACAATATTTATAGTATTATTTTTACTTTCCTTCCTAGTAGCAAGGGTTTCCTATAAAACACCAGATTTTTGTATCAAACCCAAACCACTAAAGTTTTAAGTTCAAAGTTTAAACCTTACAATGAACACTTAATAAATCAACAAATAGCCAAAAGATGCTTTATCAAACCACTCTTCAAAATAACACTTCCCTGTTTTGTTTCTCTTAGGATGGAATAAAAAAAATATTAAACCGTGTGTGTGAACTTAATTAAAATAAATGTAACCTGTACAGATATCAATACCAAAAGGTACCCCTTCAGTATAATAAAGTCCCAAGTACAGCAATCTGTACTATCACATTTCCAACTTAAAGAAATGTTCAAATTATTACCACGGCTTGGATTTGTAAACGTTGGGGCCCATACAGTAAATCCTTCAACTCCCTGGTAGTACAGTTCAATGTTCAGAAAAGTCTCCTCTTACTCACGCGGCTCCGTCCCTCCGACAGTTCAAAAGAATCCACAGGCTGGTAGACGATGCAGCAGAATGGCGAGGCGCAGCAGTAGATGTCCGTGCAGCGTTGCAATTCCCGTGGGCGGGGTCCCTCCTCACAGCGATGCTACTCAGCAGGCTAGCTGCTAGCAGTTAATGTTGTCTCTGAACCAGGAGGATAAACTTAGTGGTGCAGTGATGATAAATCAGAAGTGCCATGCTGCTGACAGTGCCTCTGCTCAAGAGTTTGATGAGGGATTAGCCTGCGACAGCTAGCTAATCAGTGTATTGCACTGAATTAATGACAGCTGTGCTATCAGTGCTATCACTGTGGTGTTTGAGTACATTTTAATTAATAAGTAATGAGACTAATGACTGTGACTGTTCCTGTTTGCCTTCAGTTCACTTTTTCAGAATGATAATAGAAACTGCAAATAGCATGTCTACATACTGGAATACCATATAATCTGCGTTCGAACACAAGATGATCTCAACAGATGTCCATTTTTTAAACTCTAAATAAATGCAATCCCATGCAGTCGATGTTTTCATGGTAAACGTTCAGTCTGCTACAGGTTAAGGGCTCTGCAGTGTGAGACAGTTTGCAGTCGGGTTAGTCGGTATCGATTAATTAATCCTTTCTTTAAGGAACATTACTGTGTTTGCCCTTCCTCAGCCTGATAGTGTTGCAGAACTGCTCTCCTGCATTTCACTGCATATGTTAGCACAGTGGTTCCCAAACTGGAGTTCTCCATCCATCTCCATCCCTTTATATTTATTACTTCATTTTCTTATTTTTATATTTAATTTTTACCCATCAATTTCTGTTTTTCCTAATTTGTAGTGCTTCTCAGTGTAGTCAGTAAGCTCGGTACCAAGGATAAAAAAATCTATACACAAACAGGAAGTGTTTGGGCACCATTATGTTTGCATGTCAAAAAAAGCATCCATGCAGCTTGAATACCTTCCAGTGAAAATTTGCGTGCTGCACAGTGGGGAAAAAAAGCAAATGCTGGCTGGAGTGGAATTGAAAGTGTTATGGCTCAGCCAACCTAATGATTCCGTGAAGACCACTGCCACACTATACCAGATACATTACTTCATTTGACTAACTTAGATTGCTTTCTTTTTTAAAGCGCTTCAATCAATTTTTATCCAAAATATTAGATGTGAGTGTTGATGTGGTAAGAGATTCTAATATTTATGTGTTTCACAAAGAACAAACGATAATATCTAGAAGCTAAAATAGTTCTGCAAACCTTAATTGGTGTTAAAGTAATCAGCTTTCAGCTCTCCTTTTTCTCCACCTTTGTTTTTAGAACTTCTCTCCCCTCATCTTTGTCTCTGCTGTGGTCCTTTCTTCCATCTCTCATTGTATCATCTCCCAATCCCTTAAGTCTTCTTTCCTCGTTCCTCCTTCATCACTCTTTAACCACATCCTCTTTGCCTCGGAAAGCTGGGTAGGATTTGTGTGTGTGTAGATATGGAAGTGTGTGTGTATATATTGCACAAACGGGGGAGTTGTTGAGGCGTTGGGTGCCTGAAAGGCAGAGAGTGGTACTTTTTACCTTTTTGGCAGATTGCACAGGGTTCAGTTTTGATGACTTTCATATGGTTGCTATGCAACCATAGGAAGACGTTTCCATCTTATCCATATCCTTAGCTTTATGCCTTCGCTCCACTCCTCCGTGCTCTTCCTCCTAATCTTCTCCACTGTCCCTCTCCTTCTCATTATTCATTCCTTCTCTGCTTTCTCTTGCTTTATGTGTCCCTCTTATCTCTCACCATGCGTTTTTTCCCCTCCAAATTATCTGTTCATACTTTGGCTCCTGTGCCTCTCCTCCCCTCTCACATAGAGGAGTCTCTGTCCTGGTCTGCTGCTGGCAACGCGTACAGCATCCAAGGTCACCCATACTGTGCTGTCAGTGTGACAAGTGGGCTGGGGTGTGTGAGTGTGTGTGTGTGTGAGTGTGTGTGTGTGAGTGTGTTTGTGTGACAGGACAATTCTGCACAGTATACAATATCTCTTTCCTCACCCAAGCAAAAGTAATGTGTGTAATGTGTTGTTTGAACAGAAGTGAATGTCTTTTATGAATTTTTCTATACATCAGTGCTGATGTGTTTGTTTCCATGTGGTTTACCTCCTACTGTACTGTGGGTGGTCGTGTGGTCTTCTTGTATAGCTGCCCCCTGAGGTTCTTTAGGCAGTGATATAGGAGGTTGTGTGCAGTGCTGTCTGTCTGCAGTCACTACACCCAGCGAATATTGACTCTTGTCTGTGAAACAGTATATGGAGTATGAGGAGAGATGTGTCATTGTAGAGGAAGGTAATTATTGGGATTAAAGCTGCCACTTTATCAATAATGACTGTTTAGTTTGTGTGTAAATACGTCTGCATGAAGGCCTTTTTTTGTGTTTCTGTTGAGCCCTGAGGACACTCTATTTTTCCAGTCAGTAAAATAAATCCAGACCCGTAATTTGTATATCGATATGTTGCATGCTGTAGCTGTCTGTCTTTTCTGGCACTCTAATACTGCACTAATTGCAGTACTTGAGGGGTTTTCACATGCTAACACGCAGTTGACTTGAATAGCTGTCTAACTAAAGTGGTGCTGAAGGTTTTAATCAAACGATTGGCAGGTGACCAGAAACACAACTTCAAATGAATGCTAATTGTGCTCTGTGTCCACTGGATGTGTAAATAGACAACTGTTTGCTAATGTGTTAGCCTTAACATTGTTAGATTGTGATAATTTGTTGCTGTTGTGTTTTCAGTTTGTGGTGCTGCCCCCAAGTATCAAAAGAACTTTGAGGGTTTAATTTCATATTTGTGGTATTTGTAGTATTCCATTTTTCACATATAAAATACATTTCTGTATTTTTCTCTGTGTTAGGTGGAGCCGCCTGCTTCATGCAGTCTCCTGTTGTGGAAGCAGTGGAGCGTGTAAAACAAAGTGATAAAAGCCATACACACAAAAAAAAACACCAATAAAAATGTCCAGTTAAGCAGCACACTTTGCCCAAAGCAAATAGCACAGCATCCCACTCACTTATTGAACGTCACACTCAATAAGATATCCAGTGATTTCCACATTTCATTCATTGCAATACTAAAAGCAGTAGTACAATTGTAAATCAGGTCAGGCTGTCCTTGATCTCCTCATTGTGTACCATAGATCCTTCCTTTGAGTGAAATTACTATAAATTCCAGCTAGATGTTTTTCTCAATTGACAGAATAGCTCGTTTTGAACTCATACATTTAACTATAGAATCTGTACAGTGGCCTCTAAATGTAAATTTATTTATTATTTATTTTTGGAGGTCTTCACAATAGACTCAAGCTAGATTAGTATTTGTGATTTATTTTTTCCTACATTGTGAGGACCTGTATGTCTTTTCTCGTTACTTGTCAGGGTTTTCTCCCCCCCAAGATCTACCTTTTTGACTAGAAGGATGTGACAGACTGTGTTTGGTAGGCATTTTCAGACACTTGCAAGACAGCAATGACCCCTACTCCTTTCATCTTAGAACTATTCTAGACAGCATCTAGCGTTCCCTTTTTATAGAATTCAAATATTGTCAGTCTACCAATTGATTAAAAAAAACTATATACCCTGCTGCGCTCAGGCTGCAGTTTTCTACAGTGGTTCACTGAAAGAGATGATCAAAAGGAGGCAGATGTGTTCAGTTCATTTTAATGAGGAGCAGAGAAAGGATAAGACTACAGATATTAGAAGAAGACTGCATGAAAAAAATGTAATTTTACTCACCATCAGCAACATGCAGCCTTAATAGCCCACTTACTTTCCATTTTCCATCCAGGATGGCAGGGTTTTTCACAGAAATGAAGGTGACTGCATCTTTAAAGTCTGCTACTTCATTATGTTGGTGGGAAATGGTATTGGTAAGTGCTGCATCCATTTTCCTGGGGCACTGGGTTCATTCAGCTCATCTTTTCAAGCCCTGTATAGGCCCTAATGCTCTGATACTCTATTATGATAGGATTTATTGACTTTATAGAGGTCTGAAGATTATTTAAAATGTTTTAACATCAGTGATTAATGACAGTGGGTTTTCTGTGATGCCTTCCTTTGGAAGCTATTAATTTGTGTCAAAATGAGTAAAGTTATTTTATTGAGATAACATTATCAAGAACTACATGTTACAGTTTTACATCAGTTTCTAATGCGCACGCAAAAAAGGTTAAACCTTGTTCGTCAAGAATAATCACTTGGTGCAGCCGTTTCTGCTCATGTTTTCTTAGTATTTGTAGTTTCGTTGCAAAAAACTTGTGTGGTGTAATGTATCCATCTGTTATCTGAGCTTGCCTGTTACCCTGTCAGGGTTTTTAGAGACAAAAGATTTAAAAGGTATCTCCTCTTCTCCCGTTAAGTTGATAGTGAACCTGTGAGCAGGATAGGCTTTGTCATGTTTTCTGGTCTTTGGTTTTGACTGATAAATACCTTCCAACTTTTTCTTTTTGTGCTTTTATCGGTTATTCTATATTTTACTTTTCCGTTATTTTACTTTCTCGTAATCTGCTAATTGTTTTTTGGAAGGCTATGTAATTTGGTAGCCTACTAAGTTTATGGAAAAAATAAGTTCCAAGGCTGTTAATTAAGTTAGCTTGCTGATTGATTTTAAAAGCAGTTGCTGATTTTCAGTGTTTTTTGAAAGAACTGCTCCATTTAAACCCAAGAAAATAAATCATTAATTTATTATTGGAAACGTCATGCTTCAGATATGTTAAATTGTCACAGTGGAGCTTCAAAGTGTGGAATACATTTTCAATTATCTTCACATATTATGCACTTATATTTTTGAAGAAAATGTGTTTTGAACTTTGCACTAGTATGGAAGAAGTTCTCAGTCACACAGACACAAACACACACACAAACACACACACAAACTTGGCTGAGTACCCACTGTTGGCCTTGCCGAGTTTGTGTAGGCGTGCTGGTGGGTGTTTTCTAGGCTCCGAGACTCATCCACATCAAAAATCGTAGGAGAAAAGAGTCATGAAAAGAAATAGCCTTAGATATGAGTACTGTGTGACCTCTGCTGCCAAATATTGAGACAGGACCACAGCCAAGAGTGCTCACTTCAAACGCAAACACACACACACACACACACGTGCATGCATGCTGTTCCAGGTCAGTGTGCCAGTCTCTTGGTAGTAAAAGTCAGCAGATTCAGAGACAAAGAAAACAATGAAAGTTTATTTATGCCTGGAGGATAGCTTCCCTTTCTGGTGCCCTGCCTCCCCTCTGAGGTCAAAGTTCAAGATCAGATACAGAACAACTGCAGTCAGTCTACTCACTTAATGTGAATCCAAAAATCTTGAGGATTCGTGCAAAAATATCTCTGCTGTTTATTGCCGTTGTTCGGCTGGTTGTGTGGTTGTCAGAACGATGATCTTCGGGCTCAGATGCTTTATGTGTTTGCAGACTACTGTGGGACACTGCGGCAAGAAAAGACACAACACTGTTTCTACGGTTTCTACAGAGAGTACTCTGCTGAAACAAGTATCTAGTACAGATACTATACTTAATTATACTTACTTCTAATTAACAGTAAATGTAGGAACGCAACGAAAGCCCCTTTCAAGCCACATGCGAAGTGCCGCGACCTCAGCTTTGCCTCGTTTCCAGCAACTTTACTTGCGTTTTATTTTATTTTGTTTTGTTAAAAGTTATCAGTCCGTTAAGTTACACTAGTTTAATTGAAGAACGACCAAGTTCTTTTCTTTTTTAAGCTTGATTCGTCGAGTGAGGCCAGGAATCGGGCAGCTAGCGTGGGGCCCGTGAAACAGGCCAAGGCACTGACTAATTTAAGATAATTGAGCAATTGTTAACTAACTGATCACTAGTGAATAATTGTCTAATTATTAGCCATACTCAGGGAGTCCCGAGACCCTGGGCGGACAGTATATCGGGTGGTGCTCCTAGTTTGGAGGCATGAATTAATATTCCCGGAAATTTTAATTTTCATGACTGTATTAAAATCATATGTAAGCTTTAGACCTGCTACAATTGTGATCAAAAACTCTGCTCTGAAACTGTTCTGCAAAAGGTTTTCTAATTAATATAGCATCTTCTGATCAACCCATATCAATTTCAGGCTTAAATTATCAATATCTGGTTTAAGCCCCTCCCATTCCAAGTACAGATACGGATATTGATCATTTAGTTGTTTGAACAGATACAGATAATGGTGTACTCAGTCGTCCATAATTGTTACTGTATATGAAACAGGAATAAGGAAAAAATCAACACTGTGTTCCTTACGCTGTCTGGTCCCAAGTGCATTAATTCCTACAGAAGATATAAATCTTTAAAAGTATGTCACATATATATATATATAGTTTCATTTATATTTCGTAATCTTTTTTTCTCTTTTCTCTATCTCTGTTTGCAACAGGCAAAGGTCGTTCAATCTGGCGATAAATGATCTTTTTTTTCCCACGTTCACACCCAATTTGGCAGGCAAGCAGCCATTACCTCGAGATTGTTTTGCATTCTGACACTCACATTGTATTTCTGCTAAATTACTGTTAACTGCCTGTACTGTACATCTGTCACTGTAGCTGGTGGAGAGAGAGAAGTTTTTTTCTCTCCTGGTTACAGAATGATGAATATTGTACAAAATGGTTCTTCCCACTCATGCCCACCCTCTCTTCTGCCATGTTCCTTCAGAAGATTAATCCTGATGTCTCTCTCATTTGGCGTTTCTCTTGCCAGTTAATTAGCCCCTCTGCTGAGGTTTCATTTGTTTGCCTGGGAGGCTCATGTGTGTTAAGAAGAAGAGACTAGTAGTGAGGTACCTTTTGTTGTTGTTGTGTGTGCGAACCTTGACTTATCACAATTCAATTACCAAGGTGACATACTGTACAGATGATATGCAGCTCTTGCCTTGATGCTCTTAGTTGAGATATTAAGTGTATATATTAAGTGGCTGTTAACATTTCTCTCTGGGAAGTCAATCAAACGACCACAAAGAGATTTGAGATGAAAAACAACTACAGAGTATTTAGCAGAAAAACACAGAGATAAATGTTATCTGGTATTACGTTTTAAGACACGGACATGGTGGAAATTTTACATTACGGAGCGACAGTAAACGCACCAGTCCAGATGTCACTCCACTTTGGTTTTTCTGTCTAGCACAAGAGCCGACAGAGCGTGTTGGCTGCCGTAACTTCTACTGCGCGCTTGGAAAGGGAGGGGTGAGCAGTGACTGATGGTGCATTCATGTGAACTCGGAATAATCTGAATCTTTTTTTCCTCCTTAAATATTTATTGCAAAAAGAGAAACAAAGTGAACATGGGAAATAAAGAAGTATGCAGAACTTTGGTTCATGCAAATGTACGTGTTGCATATACATATTTTGCAAACAGTCAATATAGAGTGAACTAGATGTCTGGGTGTTGTTTATACGCTCTGATAATGCTAATCCAACACATCTTTGTAGCAGCGTCCATGTTGATTCCACATTCCGAATTAAGAGCACATGAACACACACTGTAGTCGGAAGAAGGACTTCATAACTCGTGAAATGTTACCATCCAAGGAGCATGCGAATGCACCGTGAGCTGCAGGTTGCAATTTGTGACCCTTACCACTAGATGCCACTAAAATTTACACACTGAACCTTTAAAGTCTTTGAATCACAAAGATTTGCAGAGCCCCCCATCTATCTGTAAAGTTTGGATTTGCATCACAGTTTCATTGAATATGTGAGTGTTTTAGTGTGCGAGTGTGGGACTTTTAATGTATCAACAAGTGGTACTAACAGCATTAAGAGAGCTTGAGTCTCAGCCATGCAAGTAGACTTTATTCAGATCAAGACACATGACTTTCACGGTTGCTTACAGTACAGTGGAGCCTCCAGCTATGTGCGTGCATGTGTGTATATCATGCATGAATATTGCATAGATGGATTAAGATTAACACTGTGTGTGTGTGGGTCTGTACATTGTGTGCATTTAAATGTGGGTTGCCAGCAACAGATTTTCCACCCTGTAGCTGCTTTGCATACAGAACAGGTACTGCAGCGTCTGGTATTGCAGAATGAACTCTATGCATTTGTTTTTGATTTCCTTCTATCACCACTACAGAGCTGCTGTGACATGCAGAAACACACTGTGGCTCCTGTGCTTGAACCACTTTCTTGTGCAGCATGTCTAGAATGTCTTTGTAAATGCCATATAAGAAATCGGTATGCGCGTTCTTGCAACCACTGTTTAAGAGAAATCACAACAAGAACGCCTGCACACCCTTTTGATCCCAGTCTGATCTTCAGGTCAAAATGTTCAATAATGGATACCACACCCATATAAAAAGTATGTGAACCCTTTGGAATTACCTGGATTTCTGATCTGATCTTTATCTAAGTCACAACAATAGACGAACACAGTCTGCTTAAACTAACGCCAAACAAACAATAAATATTTTATGTTTTTATTGAACACACCATGGAAACATTAACAGTGCAGGGTGGAAAAAGTATACTAACCCCTAGGCTACTGACTTCTCTAAGCTAATTGGAGTCAAGAGTCAGCAAACCTGAAGTCCAATCAATGAGACATTGGTTGGTTAGAGCTGCCCTGCACGATAAAAAAAACAAAAGAGCTGTAAGAAGACCTAAGATTAAGAATTGTTGACTTGCATGAAGCTGGAAAGGGTTACAAAAGTATCTCTAAAAGTCCTGATGTTCATCAGTCCACAGTAAGACAAACTGTCTATAAATGGAGAAAGTCCAGCACTGTTGCTGCTCTTCCTGGGAGTGGCATGGGGATGTCATGCGGCGTTTGTAAGAAAGACAAAAATCAAGGTTCACTTTTTAACTACATCTTTTAATAATTGTGCAATTTCTTGCATCAGAATCAGAAGGAGCTTTAGTGCCAGTGTAGTGTAGTGTTTTGATGAGGTGCTACACTTCGACAAACATACAGTTGACATAAATAAATGTAGAAATATATAAATATGGAATGGAACGTTGCAGATACCTGTGCATTATTCTGGGTCTGTGACGTGCAGAAGTAAGAGAATATTGTGTACATATAAATATATAAACTGACAACATAAAAATATACAACACTTCTATACATCACTTCTCTTATCAGGCGTAGCTCATCAGAAATGATGTTGATGCCGTTTATGGTGTATCGCTGTAGCCGCAGGACTGTGTCAGTGAGCACCCCACCACTTCCAGGCATGCCATGCCATCCTCCGACACAATCCCACACACGCTGGCCGCCCCAATTATGGCAGCGATTTTGTTGTCCAGTGGTGTGAGCTCAGGTGTACTCACCAGTTGCAGCCATGCTCTGGCACGGACTGGACTGTTCTGTCCCACTGACACTGTTGACAGCTGCAGCAGCACGTTGCCACTGGCATGGTTTCTTATTATTTGTGCTGCTGTGGCCACAAAATAACATTGTTTTCTGGGCCTCCACCTCCCCTACAAGAGTTTCTATTTTGGTGTCTGAATAGTTACGTTTCTTGGTTTTCTTCTCCCCTGTTGCCATGATTCACCATAAGGAAAGGACAATCGCATGGCAGGCTCATTAATATACGGATCAGCATTCATGAGGTGCTTTGCATTGACTATGATTAAAAATGGGCATGTGCAGCCTTGATGACAACTTTCTCTGTTGTTTTTTTTAAACTTCCATCTATCTGGGTCTGTTCACAATTAATAGCAAAACCAGAAGGGCTAAGGACTTGCTTTAAATTCTTGAAAACAAAAGTCTGGAGAACTTGTGGAGTCCTGAAGCCACCAAACTCAGCCCCAATACTCGTCTGTCCATAAAAATCACAAATAAAATCACTGACAAGGGACATCCTTGTTGAGGTCCAGTAATAATGCAGTGTTGTGGTCATATTCTAATCTGTCTTCGTGTTTTGTCTTCCATAGGTGGAGCCCCCGAAGAAACCTACCTGTACGTGTTAAGACGAATGAGCCAAGCATCGACCTTTTCAGATGGACACTGGGAGACGGCAGTATTCTGTTTCAAAGACACAAGATTGAAGAATACACTCAAGACTGATGCAACACCGTTTTACCTCCCGTCCTCCTCTCCTCTTCCACTGATTCAATCAGAGAAAAACTCTTCTGCATTCTACCTCCCAGAGAAATAGCAAACAGCAATTTAATATCTGTTATCAGCAACATTTCTTCATTTACCTCAGGGATTTTCTCCCACTGCCTACCTCTTCCACCGAATCAGCCAACCCAGTGATGTAAAGCAAAAACACACCTCTGACCCCTCACTGCTGTTACCATGACAACCTGTATTGCCTCTCAAGTTTTCCTCACTGCAGCCGAAACAACCAGCAATGACCTTGGACCTCTTACCACCTGTCAGTTCAGACCTGCACACTGCCTAAATTGTACTCGTCCACACTTGTAGCCTGGACCTCTGGCTAGTTATAACTGGAAGCAAAAGGGTCACAGTTGCCATGCAGTCAGCTACACACACACAATAGACTTCACCCTTCGATACAATATACCTGGCAGGCAACTATATACCTCAGCAGGTACGGATTCTAGATAGGCACCCAGTCAGCAGGACACTTTTCAGCTACAGCACTAAGCCTGGTGCTTCATTCTACCTAGCAGACAACTCACTTAAGCATCTTCCATTTGCCTTAGAGTCAAGAAGATAGCAACTGTAGCCAGGGAGGCCTCAAGAGAAGCAGAGAGAGAGATTTCACTTCACTTAATTTCCTTCTCAGCAAAGTCTCATCATACACGAGCCTCACGATCTAAGCAGTAGCATAAATCGGCAATTGCCCAGGAGGCCTTCAAAGATCACAGAAGAGACACTGAAGTTTCTCCTGCCATGAGCTTCCTCTTCACCCCATGAAGCCTCCATAGAAGTGAAGCTACCCACGGAGCAAGCCACAAAGAATAACGAACTTCATGGCAGATTTAACTCGGAGCATTATAAACCTTGGGAAGTGAGAAGAGTAATCACAGAGTAGATCCATATTGTGTGACAGCAAAGAGAAAAGGAAGGGGAGCATTAGGAGTAAAAAGAAGACCGCAGCGGTGAGTTCCGTTTTCTTATTTTCTTGTTTATCAGCATGCTTCCTTCACATTTTACTTTTCTCTAAGAGGAGGCCAGGGTGTAAAGAATATACCAGTAATATAGTGGGATTGAATAAGGTCCACATTTTTTACTTTCTTGTTTTCAACTCATGCTATTGAATACCAATGGAAAAAAGAAAAATACTTTGGTTTTCACATTTTTCATTTCTAATCTTTTCCTTTCTTTGTATCACTAACTGACATTTAAATGGCATTTCTGGCTTATTAGATGATCCAGAGTGGAGACAGACAGGAGATTAAGAGAGATGGAAAGAGCGCTTTGCAGTAAAGGTCATTCACTGAATTTGAACTCTCCTTCAATAACATACATCTTGGCAAAGAAATCTCACCAGAACAAACTTGGCTTGAACGACAAGTCTCTGGGAAGTTTGTAGCTTGAAGCACCCCTAACTGAGTATGTTATGTAAACTCATCAGTCAATTTTCTTGATTTTCATGCTTCAGTTGGTGTATGTCAGTTGTACGCTTGGTTTGGCCTGGTGACTGTGTTGAACCAGTCCTGAGGATTTTATCTTGAGAAAAACACAGTATGACTTCTGTCAATCCACAGAGATGTGAAAACGCTTTCAGCCACCCAAAAGGATTTCAAATTAGTGTAGTTTGTGATTTTGAATTTCATACATTTTAAAGTAGATATTTAGCCAAGCTCAAAGGATGGCAATGTTGGTGAGGCTTTTGGTCTGTTGCTAAAAACATTTTTCATGGTTCCCAGACGATTTAGCATAATGACTTTGTAGATCCTTTTTCCTCTTGCACCGCCATGAGGTTGTTTTTTTAATACATTAAAATATCTCAACAGCTATTGCTTTGGATGGAGTGCCATTGCGTACAGACATTCATGGTCCTCAGGGGATGAATTTTAAAAACTTTGATCCCCTAACCTTTCATCTAGCGCAAGTCAAAATTTCTGTTTGGTTCATGGCAAGATACTTGCAAAACCAATGACATTCCCATCAGCCTCAGCAATACTTTGTTCAGTGCAAAATTCATTCAGTGTGTTAACATTGTCCTTGTGAATGTGTTAGCATTAGCATTCATCTCAAAGCACTCGGGTGCTTAAATATAGCTGAGCTGCTAGCATGGCTTTAGACTCCTAGTCTTGTTAAACTATAATTTCTACTGGTTCATGAATATTCTGTATTTTTTGTGTGATTCAGCAGTAGAATTCAGTCAAATCCTATAATTGTGTATATAAATATTATATATGTGCTGGCCTGGTTTGTATCACTATCTCGTTTTCTCAGTTGCTGTTGTCATCAAATTCTTACAACTGCCTTCATGTTGCTGCAATGGAATAATCATGTGAAAGAAACTTTGAGTATTCTGCTGCCCATCACTTAGGGTATCCCTTTCCAATTGGACTGGATAAACCTGCATCATGTACCAAAACAAGACAGTTTCTCTTGCATAAGGAGAGGTGGACAGCGTAAGGGTTAAAAAAAGAAGGAACATGGTCCAGATTTCCATCTTTTCATTATGATCTACTTTACATGTGAAAAAGCTTTAGTCATAAGACGATTGTTGAGATCCCTGCATGGAACTATTATCCAGCACTGCTGCTGCATGTTAACTCTGTACTTTGAAACGCAATGATATAATCCAGGACCTTGGTAATGTGGCCACAGTGTGATCTTTGGTTGACCAAAGTAGGGAAACGAGGGAGAAGAAAAGTAGTGGATAAAGAGTAATGGAGAGATTACAAAGACAGATGGCTTAGAGATGGGAGGTAGAGAATGGGAAAAGAGACAGAATGATGTGGGAGGGAGAACAGAAAGAGACAAAGATGGATGTAACTCCACCAACAGGACTTACCTCAGACACCCTCTGTGCTTTCCTTCCACCCCTCCCTCAGTCATTCACAGGGATTCACACATGTAATACCCTCCATCATTGAAAGTCTCCTCACATCATAGTTCCATACCTTGTTCCCAGCCCTCTGCTTCGTGTTGCTATGGCAGCACACACCCTTCCCCAGCCACCTGTGTCTAAGATCTCAGATACGCAGCGATCTAAGGAACGCAGAGCCTACGTAGGCCAATCAAATTGCCGGCTTATTTGTGTGCCATTATGCGCACAAGTATGCGTGTGTGTGTGTGTGTGTGCGTGTGTGTGTAGGGCAGTGAACTACTTGGACCAATCACACGGCTTGGTGAAGTTTGTGTGTGTGTATGTATTCACATATATATATTAAGTGGCTCAGTGTTTCTGCTGCAGCATTAAAGAAAGTCTCTCGATGATGTCCCATTATCTCCTGTGTGTTTGTGTGCGTGGGTAAATGAAACGGGAGAATTGAATGAGTCATGATAGGGCTCTCTGAGACATTGCGGCAGTCATGCTGAGTGTGTGTGTGTGTGTGTGTTCATGCCACTGAGTGCCTCCTGGGTTCAGTGCTTTGTAATTGCCTCAGCAATATTACCATAACATCGTCCTTACTGGCTGCTGCGTCGCTTGCCAGTTAGGATCTTTTCAATAGAAAACAACGCAACTGATTTTGTCATGGACGCTTATCTGGTCACATTCAGTTAGGACACTGTGTAAGGTGTCATCACATTTGATAGCTGTCAAACTCAACCTCCTGGTTTATATCTGTAACTTCCTCCCGTACCCTCAGAGTACTGCAGCTTATTGTTTGGTAGTTGTACCGATGTCTGTCTTTTTCTTTTCCTTGGGTTGTACTTTCATAATGAAGCTAATTTACCTATTTAATTGTTATTTCTTGTATTTATTTTGAATCTTTTTAATTAGCACTCCCTTGCTTGTTTCTCCCTCCTCTGTCTTACTTTTTAACCAGAACACCCCCATTAAAACATGCATGATTACAGCACTTTGCTGTAATATAGGTCACCCTCATAAAAAAGGCAGTGTTTTGCTCTGTGGTTCTCTCCAGAATTAAAGGCAAGTTTTTTCTGCACTGCCTCACTTGATCATTGGAGCATTACAAACAACAGCTGTGTTTGTTAACATCTGTCTCAGTGTTCCAGTGTGCTTCTGCTTTAAAGCCTTAAACCTAATGCAAAAAAGATATCCATGTCATGTCCCTATCATGGCATCCACACTACGAGGGTAAGTATGCTCTCTGTAAGCCGATTTCAGTCTGTCAGTTATATAACATGCCATGGTGATTTTAATTTATTAAATTTATTGCTATTTTGTTATCATTGCTATCAAATGTTTACTGGCCAGCAGCCCAATGAAAGCCCCATGCCCTGTTATCTATGTGTTGGTTTTGAGCAGTAGGTACGGCTTAAGCTTGACATTTGATGAATGACGGAGATGCTGCTGTCACTCAGTGGCGCAAGTTCGCAGGGCAAAGTTCACAAAAGCTGAAGTCGACGCGGCGCATACAAGTGGATTCACTTCGCCTCCTCAAGCGGATCCTCTTATCGCAGCAATTCCATTTTATCCAATCATTTCCCAACTGCACTAGAGAAAAAGAAAAACAACAGGACCCTCAGTCTGCACAACGGGGTCCAGAACATTGTGAACACTTTTCTGTTCACAGTGAGAGTAATCCCAGTGCAGGATGTGCATGAAAGCTCCACAAAAGCTTTGACTGAGAGGAGCCAATCAATACTGTTGCTATAGGACTAATGTGTGACAGGCATGTCTCTAGTAGTCTTTTAATAATCCCAGTGTGGGATGTTAGCAGCACAAAATGTAGGATAAGCCTGTAAAAACATATAACACAAGAAAATGATAAATGGATGTTGCTGAGAAGCATTTAGTATTCTGCTGCTCGGTGCACCTCAGGGTGGATGCCAGTCCTTAATCACAGCTGGGTTTACATCTTTTTTTTTCTCAAAACATCTGACATATTCTGGGATATGAGATGAGAAGAAATGTTTTTTTTAAGCTGTGAGAGTGATAGAATTTACTTAAAAATTTTTTTTTGAAAGATGTCGTATTAGAGAAATATTTCATAGTGTTGGATGCAGGTCTGACTGGACCCACTTCAGTTGGATATCTGACTGAATGGAATGGAGTTCCCACGCTACTTTCAGTGTATTCAGATACTGTAATTACCGCTCTATATTGTTAGTGGCCTGATCTGCTATTCCTCTGATGGATTCAGTTTGCCTACCAATGCGGTGGGATTGACAGGAAAGGATCCTGCACCTTATTCAGTTTTACTGTAAATGTTTCTCTTTAATCATCAGCATCACTGTTTGCTGCTCACTCTCCTCCAGCTGTATGAACAACTGGATTAAGATACTGCTGTTGTTAATGCAACATTTCCCACTGCCGCTTATTCACATTAAAAGGCTTTTATTCTTTTCCAGTCGCAGAAAGCGCATTCAATTTGTAACCCAAGGTTGATGCTGACAGCAATCATTCATCAAAAATGTGTCTACAAAACAAGAAAAGGGTCATTTTCAAAATTTTTTGACAGTGGATCAGTTTTAACTATCGCATGGACAAATAGTCAGGAACACCCACAGTGAGCTGTTAGATGAAGAGCGGTAGGCAACAGGCTGCACACCTCCAACTCATCAGCAAGGTAACCAATTTTTTTTTTACTGTGCACTCCTGGAAATCTACTCGTTCAGTGTGCAGCAAGAAATCACACGGTGCTTTATTATGGCATGGAGGAAAAATTTAAAATAATGACTTCTTTATAAAAGCAACCTAAGTTGCTCTGACTGTACTATGAACAGATACCCCAGTTGCTGTTCTGTTCTGTCTTTCTCCTGACGGTGCTTTGACTTACCTATGGGACCTTATGGACATCTAAAGACATGGTGGCCTTGCAAGAATAGATACTCAGCCTCAACAACAGAGCATGGCTTGTTCAATAACACATTATTCAGTCTCATGCAGATGCAGAGCAGCTTGAAGCAAAGCGTGAATGCTAGTAATATGTTCTACCTACTGTATATCGGTAGGAAAGCTACCCAGGACATTTACCCTGGGAGCTTTAGCTCATGTTGTTATCAGGGAAGT